TTTGGCCTTAAAACCAGAGAGACCCATGTTATTCACGTACTGAGCTGGACTCAGGTGAGACCTTGAAACATTCACTCTGTGTCCCCAGTTCACTGCCATTGAGTTCTGCGTGTTCGTGTATGTGAGAGATGAGCTAGACCTGTTTGAGGGAGAGTTGGAGAGCTACATCGCCTCCGTGAACCAGACGGGGACTCTGACCCCAGTCATCCTGCAGGTGAAAGAGCTGATGAACGTCGCCAAAGGTAAAACCATCCCGCCACCTTTGTTCCTGCCACCTGCGTGGGAAAAAGAGGGACTTGTAACTGCTGGCAGGTGCACACCTGTATAATTATTGCTGCTAGTATTGATATTACATGCATGAGGTGACTGGTCTGGGAGAAAAATGTGTTACAACTGATAAATGCCTGCCTACATTGACTAGAAGGTCAGTGGGGTCAGGACACAGGCCATTTTGTTAAAACCCATTTGGGGCTGAATTGAATAAGCCCTAAGAATTTCTCATCCTAAATAGCCTATTTTGTTTTAATGCCAGTGGGAACAACTAAAATCATCATATATCTTTCCCTTTGGAAAAAGTAAAACACCAAGTCTTGACTTTTTTTTAAGATTATATGAAAAGTTTGTGTCTTTCAAATTTTATTTCTTAGTTCAGGCTGCTATAACAAATTACCGTAGGCTGGGTGGTATACAGAACAAACATTTATTTCTCAGAGTTCAGGATCCAGGTGCCGGCAGATCTGGTGTGTGGAGAGGGCCTGCTTCCTGCTTTGACCATCTTCTCTTCGTATCCTCACATGCTGGAGAACAAGGAGAGGAAGCAAGCTCTCTCGTGTCTCTTCCTATAAGGCGCTAATCCCTTCATGAGGGCTCCATCCTCATGACCTAATTACCTCCTGAAGGCCCCATCTCCAAGCACTACCACGTTGGGGATTAGGGTTTCAACATATGAAAATCAGGGGGACACAAACATCCCATCCATAGCAGCCACTTCACCTTTCTTTGAAAATGACATATTCTAATTATATGTCCCTTGCCCATGGAGGAGGGAGAGTTCTTCACTATTCCCTGATGAAAAAGGACCCCGGACAAGATGTCAGGATAAACTCACTCTGTGTCATTGGACAAGTCAGGTCACCTCTCTTGGCCTCAGTTTCCTCATATTTAAAACGGGGTTTGGATAGGGGTGCTAGATGGTTTCCAAAAGCCTTTGAGCTCTAATATTTGATGGCTGTGAATTACCAAATGTTCCTTAAGTCATGAAACAAGTGATGCAAATGATATTTTTACTTAAAATTCATAAGCTAGTAGAACATCAAAACGCGAGGGGTATAGGTCTATGAATCATGTGAGGAAAATTCTTTTACATATATGTGACATGGAATACCTTTTACATGAACACAGGCAGGTACTGCTTCTCCTGTGTTACCATACTTTATTGTTGCCCTTGAGCATTTTTATTCATCTTTAATGTGGATTTATGTTCAGCCTGATGAGTCCTTGAGTGTAATACTCAGCTAGCACATTCTACGATTTCAGTAACACTATTCCAAGTCATACTTTTAAAAATACACATTTCCATCTCTGTTCTGGGCAAGTTTTTCATGCAAACCTCAGTTTCTTGGTCTGGGTGAATTGTAGTGAATACATCACCATATTCACTCATGTTTTATTCCCTCTTTGATATACTTCTCACATGTTTAAGCACTTTGAGGATCAGAACGTAAAATTTTCACTGTATCTCAATCTCTTCCAGCATTAAAGCAGCTACTCTCTCGCCAAGAGAGACTTTTAAGCTGAACGTGCTTCCCCTTGGGGAAGATGAGGGCATTACATTAAAGGTGTGCAGTCGTGTTCTTGCTGCTTGCTGGAGCAAGTCCTCACTCACTCTCCTGTGGCCAGACTCCTCCCATCCTTCCCTTCTAAGGATGTCTCCCCTGCATCCCCAGGCAGGAGATTCATGGCTATCTACTGGCATCCTTTGTGTTGGTTGAGGTTTGAGAGAAAGCAATAATCCTGGTGATGCTGAGACAAAGACACATCTGAAACTTGAAAGGAATGGAAATCACCTTTTTCCCTTCTTTTTAAAATACCTTTATGAAAACATAATTCACATAACTTAAAATTCACCCATTTAAATATACTATTCCTTGTGTTTTATTACATTCTCAAGGCTGTGCAGCTATCACCACAATCAAATCTAGAACCTTTTCATCACCCTAGAAAGAAATCGCGACCATGTGCAATGACTCCTCATTTCTCCTTCACTCTCCCAGCCCTAGATGACCATTAATTTCTGGCTTCACGGATTTGCCTATTCTGGACATTTTATATAAATAGAATCATACAATATGTAGTCTTTTCTGATTGGTTTCTTTCACATAGCAAAATGTTTACAAGGTTCATCTATGTCATAGCATGTGTCTGAACTTCATTCTTTTTTATTGCTGAATTTCATTCTATTGTGTGAATATACCACATTGTATTTATCCATTCATCAGTTGATGGAAGTTTGGGTTGTTTTAACTTTTTGGCTTTTATGAATAATACTGCTATGAACATTTCTCTGCAAGTTTTTCATATGTTTTCATATATCTTGGGTATATGTCTAGGAGTGGAATTCTGGATAAGGTAACTATGTTTAATGTTTTGTGGAATTGCCAGACTGTTTTCAAAAGCAGCTGCATCATTGTGTATTCCCACCAGCAATGTACGGGGGGTTCAATTGCTCCATATCTTCACCGACAATTGTTAGTATCCATCTTTTCTATTATAGCCATCTAGTAAGCGTGAACTGGCATCTCACTGTGGTTTTTAGTTGCATTTCCCTGACTTCTCTAATGATGTTGAGCATCTTCTCATGTACCTGTTGACCATCTGCCCTGAGTAATGTCTATTGAAATTCTGGCCCTTTTTTTTTTTTTTTGGAGGAAGATTAGCCCTGAGCTAATATCTGCTGCCAATCCTCCTCTTTTTGCTGAGGAAAACAGGCCTTGAGCTTGAGCTAACATCCATGCCCATCTTCCTCTATTTTATATGGCTTGCCAAGCAGTGCGTAGGTCTGCACTCAGGATCCGAACTGGCAAACCCCAAGCCGCCAAAGCAGAACATGCGGACTTAGCTGTGCCTCTGGGCCGGCCCCTCTTGGCCCATTTTTAAATTGGGTTATTTATTATTAAGCTGTAAGAGTTCTTTGTATATTCTATACACAAATTCCTTTAAGAAATATAATTTGCAAATATTTTCCCGCATTCTGTGAGTTGCTTTTTCACTTTTTTGGTGGTGTCCTTTGAAACATAAATGTTTTTAATTTTGATGAAGTCCAACATATCTTTTTCTTCTTTGATCACCTGTGCATATCTAAGAAACCACTGCCTAATCCAAGGTTTTACTCTCATATTTTCTTCTGAGACCTTTATAATTTTAGCTCTTACATTTAAGCCTACAATCCATTTTGAGTTAATTTTTGTATATGGTGTGAGGTAACGGTCTAACTTCAGTGTTTTGCATGTGAATATAAGTTGTCTCATTACCATTTGTGGAAAATACATTGACAATGAGGCCTTACTTCTGGATTCTCAATTGATTCCATTGATCCATTTGTCTAGCCTTATGGCAGTACCACACTGTCTTCATTACTATAGCTTTGTGGTATGATTGAATTCAAGAAATTTGAGTTCTGCAATTTTGTTCCTTTTCAAAATGGTATTGCCTATTCTAGGTCCATTCATTTTTATATGAGTTTTAGGATTAGCTCGTTAATTTATGCAAAAATGGCATTGGAATTGGATAGGGGTTGGGTTGAATCTGTAGATCATTTGTATTAGGAGTATTGCCCTGTAAACAGAGAACATCCAATACATGAAAATGGGTTGTCTTTCCATTAATTTAGGGCTTCTTTAATTTCTTTCAGCAATCTTTGTAGTTTTCAGTGTACAGGTTGTATACTTTTGCTAAATTTATTCTTAAGTATTCTTTTTGATACTATTGCAAATGCAATGTTTTCTTACTTCATTTTCAGATTGTTCATTGCTAGTGTGCAGAAATACAATTAATTTTTATATATTGGTCTTGTGTCCTGCAAACTTGAACTCAATTAATTTTAATGTTTTGTTTATTTATTCCCTAAGATTTTCTGTATATAAGGATTTGTCATTGGGGAATAGAGAGAGTTTTATTTCTTCCTTGGCGGTCAGGATGCATTTTCTTGCCCGATTGCCCTGGCTAGACCCTCCAGTCTAGTACTGGATAGAATTGGCGAGTGTGGATATTGATTTTCTTATTCCTGGATTTAGGGGGAAAACTGTCAATCTTTCACCTTTGAGTATGATGTTAGCTGTGGGTTTTTGCAGACATTTTTTATCAGGTTGAGGAAGTTGCCTTCTATTTCTAGTTTATAGAATGTTTTTAATTATAAAGAGGTGTTGGGTTCTTTCAAAGCCTTCTCTGCACCTATTGAGAACCAGCTTGTATGGAAGCTTTTACAACCACAAATCATTGTCCTTCCTTGTTTCTCCATCACTCTCTCAGAAATACACAGAATCCCTCTGAAAGCAAATTAGATACAAAGTATTAAAAACTTGCTGGAAGATGGGTGAATGGATACTCCAGCCCTCTCGATTCCAGTTATCCTAGCACGTGGCTGATGGTTAACTGGGGGTGAGTCACCACCACCCGAAAAGTGGCAGTTAGAAGTTCAACTATTAACGGTTTCACAAGGATGGAAGCGACCTGTGATGTGTATACTCCATAATTTTCTCTTCCCGTTACTCACTGTAGATTGAAAATAATACCGAAGGAGAGGATTGTATAGGAAGTAAAGTATATCAAGGGTTTGTGTGGCTAAGATGGATCAGAAATATAAGCAAAACTTTACACAAGAAACGTGTTAAAGGAGGTCTAATGTATTTTGCCCAGACCTTTCTGATGTCAGTTTCTGCATTTTGAGAATACTGTTTCTGGTTCATCTTCTGAGGCCTCTCATACCTCTTTTTGTATTTCAGGAGTCTGGGTGGTGACCATTTTGCCTGCCTCCTTCATGTGTGTGAGCCAGCTGTTCCACATTTTGGCCTGTTACAGGTAAGAGGGCTCTGGGAGTCATTTGTGTCTTCTGCCAGGAAAGCATCTGACAGACTTTCCTAAGAATTCCCAAGCAGTGCAGCAGTGGCCGCACTGGAACCAGGAGCATATGCAAGATCCAGGGACAACCACATCTCTTGGTAGTAAGAAAAAGAAAACTATTGATTTGAGCTTCTACTATTATCTAGACATTGTGCTAGAATCGTCTTTAGATTGTCACCATAACCCTGAGGGGTAGTTTCATTCTCCCTTTTTACAGCTGAGACTCAACAAAATAACTTACCCAAGCAATTAGCAGCCAATCATGTCTTCTGACCCCAGAGACCGTCATTTCTTGTCCACTCTGGCATCTCTATTGGATGTCAGACGTGCCCTGCTCTTCAGAACCAATCACACTGGGCTCCCAGCAGGTGAATCTGGCTCAAGGGGACCTCACAGGACACTGAGTCCAGGGGCCCAGGTGTAGCAGGTTCTAGAACAGCAGTGCAGGAGGAGGCGATGGCCTTCAATCTGTAGGTAGCATTTGCATGCAGATAGCAGATGAATTTTAGGTATCTACTGCTCCCTTGTCTCTGTCTCTCTGCCTCTGCCTCTTTGTCTTTCTGGCTGAGTCTGTAACTCATACTCACTCACAGGAAGCCCAGGGCCACTTCCCACTGCTCCAGAGCATCCTGCCTTCACATGCTCCCCACCTGGCTGCCCAAAGGGTGGGGTCTCTTGCAGCTGGCATCCAAGAGAAGACTCTCCTGGCACGAAGAGGGCCCACTTCTCCATCCCCACCCTGGCTTGCTCCCTCTCTCTGCTTTCTTCTCCCTGGACCCAGTGGGTGGATGGCACTCTGCTGCTCTCCCCACCCCATCTGACGTAGGGATGTCTGCTCCTTCATCAGGCTGCAAGTGGCTGGGAGATTTTCAGAGGCATTTGACCACAACCAGGGACAACTACTGTGCAGAGCCGGCTGCATGGACGTGGGTGGAGGTGGCACAGGGAAGAGAGGGCACCTGTGCTGAGGAGGCCTCTTTCCTGTCCAGGCTGGCCCCTCACCCCCACACCTGTCACCCAGGAGTGATGATCCTTGCCCTGTCTCCTTTCCAGGACTGTGGGGCAAAGGAAATACTGGATGGGAAAGCATCCTAAAAAGTGGGAAGCACTACCACTGTGCCAGTATTTTTATTTTCCTTAGCATTATTCCAACCTACATACGGGCTCTTTTTAAAAAAATGTTACAAAAAATATTTAGTGTCAACTAAGTCTTCCTGCTATTCAGACCCCAACTTTTTGCCCCAGAGCTAAACATTGGCATTCATTTTCTGAGCTTCCTTCCAGGAATTTTGTAGTCAAATATATCTGCATGTGTTCGTGTTCCTGGTAGCGCACTCTACTCCAGTGCTGCCAAACAGAAACACAACGAAAGCCACAGGTGCAATTTTGAATTCTCTAGTAGACACTATTAAAAAGGTAAAAGGGGAGGTGAAAACAACTTAGTAATTTAACCCAACATAACCCAGATATCATCATTTCAACATGTAATAAAATACAAACTATTAATGAGATATTTACATCCTTTATTTCATACTAAGTCTTCCCAATTCAGTGGTCATGAAATTGCAAAACAACTTGGGAAATGCTGGAGACCGGAGCTTAGGAAAAAAGCAGGACACAGGTGTGGATGTGGACTGTGATCATAACTATGCCGACCTAATCTTTATGCAAAGGGCCAGACTAGCACACGAGATTTCTTGGGGTGTGGGATTGTGAAGGGTTGTGGCCCCTTTTTAATTTCCCTTTATGTTATAAGGCAGGGCCATCATTAAAAATGGCTTTCTGGGCCTGCCAGTAGTGTAGTGATTAAGTTTGCATGCTCTGCTTCAGCAGCATGGGTTTGCGTGTTTGGTTCCTGGGCGCAGACCTACATACCACTACACACACACACACCATGGTGTGGTGGCATCCCACATACAAGAAAGAGAAGAAGATTTGCAAAGGTGTTAGCTCAGGGCTTATGTTCCTCAAGCAAAAAGAGGAAGATTGGCAACAGATGTTAGCTCGGGGCCAATCTTCCTCACCAAAAAAATAAAAATAAGATTTTGTTTTTGTTTCAAAGGATTATTACTTAAGTAATACATATTCATTACAGAAAAAATAAGAAAATGGAGTAAAATGAAGAAAATAAAAGCCACATACACAGTCTCAACTATCACATTCAATCTCCATTAAGACTAGGAAACTATATGTTATTTTTTTTACAAAATACAGTAAATTTAAGATTTTTAAGGCTAATCAGAACCCTCCCATGAGCTGTGGTCAATACAGGGGGGCTGAGCTGCCCGTCATCTCCTTCCACAAGCCTTCTAGCTTATATCTATTGAGCTCTAGGTGCATAAAGAGCCGTAGTTATGGACATTATTGATTTCCCACTCTTTCTCTAGAAAGCACATGAGGAGGTTGTGGGCAGGAGATAAATACTTTCTCCCTTTGAAGTTCTACCATCCTTCCTCATTAGAGAGTGTGGTAAGCCTGCAGAGGCTTCTCTCTGCTGACACTAAGAAATTTGCCAAAACCTGCTCTCCTGCCTCTCAGACGGGGGCAGGAGCTGGGGGAGGAAGAGCCCCGGACTGGAGTCCAGAGTCCTCGATTCTAGTACGCTCTCCTGCTGACTGCTGATGAGTCACTGTGCCCATCCGGCCTTCGCTTTCCTCATCTGTAAAATGAGGATGATCACAACACCTGCCTCAGTGGGTTGGCGGGGGAACCTCAAATGAGACAGGGATGCTGGATGCATGTGTCAGAGGCAATCAAGGTTTTCTCCCCTCTGAGAGACCCTCCTTTCTTTTAAATCTCAGGTGGCCACTGCAAGGTACCCAGGCTGGCAAATAGCCTACATTCTGTGGGGTAAGTGCCATTACGTGACCCAGTCGGTCAACCCACATTCCGTGGGCACCTGTAGACTCCTGGTGTGGGCAGGGAGGAGAGAGGTGAGGCAGAAGCAGCCCTAGCCCTTCCTTGAGGGACCTGCAGGAAGGAGGGAGAAGCAACACTCACATAGATCATCATCACCATCTGTCCTGAGCCCACAGGGCGTATACACTAAGGGTGGTGGTGACCCAGAGGGGGATGTGACAGTTCACGCCCAGGGTAGGGCACAAATGCTTTCTAGTGGAGTTGACATTTGAACTGCACCTGACAGGATGAGCAGGTGATGAGCAGGAAGAAAAGGGAAGTCATGCCAGGCAGGAGAAGCAGCATAAGCATAAGTGCCAGGGCTTCGGTGAGAGGAGGATAGAGGGGGACTGCAAGGAGGGACATGCAGGACTGGATCATGAAGGACCTTGAGTGACTGCGGGCTCCCTTGGCCTACAGGCTACCTCATCATCCACGTGGTGCAGAGCCTGTGTGGCCTGGCAATCATGTATGGCCTAGTGTTGCCCATCATCCACAACCAGGGCCTGGAGATGCTCCGAGGACTGGGCATCGGGACGTAAGTGTTGGGCATTTCTGTCATTACCCAGGGCCTGGGGGCTGGTGGGCTCTTGCCACCCCTCTCCAAAATGCCCCTTCCCTCTGGGCTCTCACCAACCTGTGACACCATGCTCTCAGCTCTGATGCAGGGATGAGCCATCATAGTAACTCACAGGATGGAAGCCTTAGAGTTTACAGGATGGTTCCACTCTCACTGTCCAGCAGGGTCCTCACAATTGTGTGTGGGAAGATATATGTATGTCCATTTTATAGCTGGGAAGATTGAGGTTCAGGGAGGTGAAGTGAGAGATAGGACAGTATAGTGGAAGGAAAGAGGGAATCTGAGCTTCGGTTTTAGATCAGCTCTGAATTTGGGTAAGTTGCTTCTCTGAGCCTCAGGTTACCCATATGGAATATGAAGGTGAATGGTGCCATTATTGAGAATTTACTATGCATCTTTTCTCTTAAGAACCCTTTGAGGTTAGGGCTTACATTAGCCCCCTTTTGTCAGATGAGGAAACGGGCACAGAGAGGCTAAGCAGTTTGTCCAAGGAGGGGGAAGAGGCAGGATTGGAGCTGGGCAATCAACATCAAAACCTCACTTAAGCCCTACCTGACACTGGTGCTCAGAGGATGCACACACGGGATGTGGTACTGTCTGGGGACCTCCCTGCTCTGAGCTCCTTAGTTCCCTCCTCCTCTAGAGCCCCCTGTGAGCCTGGGGCAGAGCCTGCCCTGTCCACTCTCTCATGGCCTTGTGAGCTTTTCTCAAAGCCCCATTCCTTTCATGGAGTCCCGTGCTGTTAAACCACTCATCCCAGGTGCCCGCATTCTGGACAAAAGGACATCAATTAAACCCTGGAGTTGTGCTCAGGAGCCAGAAGACCTGACTCTGCAGCTTCAGGAAAGTCATCTCCCCTTTGTGAGCCTCAATTTTCTCATCTGCACAATGAGTGTGAGAATGTTCTGTAAGCAGAAAGCACAAAGCTTGTGCTACTGTTAGTGTGGCGGGCCGTCAGCACCTGTCCCCTCTGTATCACTCGGCATTCGAGAAGGGCTTGGGAAGAGCGGACAAGGCCACCTCAGGATGGTCTCACCCTGTGTTTCAGCCTCACCATATCCACCGTCCTGGGTCTCATGATGCTGCAGGTATGGATCGCCACCAGGTTCTTCCTGCAACCAAAGATGGGCACAGCCGACACGCAGAAGCCCTTGGCTCTCAACAACAAGTGTGGGCAGAGAAGGGAACGGGCACTGTAGGGCTTTGGCTTCGGCAGTCTCTCGTTCCTTCCTCTCCACCCGTGGCAGGTTCCTGGGCGGACTCTGCACTCTCTGAGGGGGTGAGGGGCAGTGGTTCAGGAGTGGGCTCTGGGGCCAAACTGCCTGGTTCAAATCCTGGCTCCACCCTTTATGAGCTGTGTGACCTCATGTGACCTTACTAAACATCTGTGAACCTCAGCTGCCTCATTTTACACATAACTGTGCATACCCCAAGAGGTGTTCAGAGGATGAAATGTTAAGATATGAACTTAGAACAACAGTGCCTGGCCCATGGTAATCCTTTCCAGTTCATCACTCATGGAGCAAACACATGGGCACTGAGGATAAAGAGATATCCCCACATGACTTCCCTGTGAGCTCCTCACAGTCCACTGGAGCTGACAGACACAGAGCCATAGGGACGGTAGACTCCAGAGGGTGTGGGAGGATACTAGAGAAACGCAAGTAATGGAGGAGAGGCAGGAGTATTAACTCAGCTGCTGGTGGACATCTGAGCTGAGCTGAGTAGGTTGGCAGGATTCCTACAGGTAGAGATGAGGAGAGGGCATGGCTGGCAGCTCCCGCTGCATGGATACAGGCAGGAAGCCATGAAAGGCAGGACATGTTGGGAGCAGAGTGAGAATCCAATATGGTGGCTGTGCAATGGCCTCAGGTGGTGAGCGTCAGGGAGGAAGCACAAAGTGACAATGCCAGAAAGCCCCTCTCAGAGAGGGCCTAGAAATTCAGTATGCAAAGCTTGGGCTTTATCCCATAGGCAACAGGAAACCATGGGATCAGGTGGTCATTTGGGAAGTTTCATCTGGAGGACCTGGAGCAGTCCCCACTAGGGGCATGTCACTGTCACAACAGTGCTTTTCCACTGTTACAGCCTCTGCTATAGCCACAAAACGAGCTGTAGCAACATGAGATTTCTTATCGTACAGGAAACCCCAAAACCCAAGGATTCCATGCAACTTTACAGTCTCTGCTAACGTCTGTCCTGCACTGCGCTCAGTGCCCCCTACACTGCTTCTGAGCTGGTCCTCTCACCAGTGCTGTGAGGTGGGAACGGTCAGCTCCTGCTTACAGCACGGGGTCACACAGCTAGCAGACAGGAGATGTAGGATTTGACCACAGGTCTGGGCACGCCCTGAGCCCACCTGCCTAGCCACCTTCCCATACTGAAAGGGTGCTGCCCTCTGCCTGCTTCCGTTTGCAGGAAAGCGTTCCACAACTTCAACTACTTTCTGTTCTTCTACAACGTGCTGCTGGGCCTGGGCGCCTGCCTCTCCAGGCTGCTCATCAGCTGCATCCTGGGCGCGTGGCTCATCGCCCGCATCAACAGGACCATCATGCAGAGTGGCTATGAGGGAGCAGACATGGGTGAGTGGCCAGCCCCTAATGGCCAAGCATCTGGCGAGGGCTGGTCTTCACCTTTGTAGAAGCTGCCTGGAGGGCAGGGGTCAGAGGCCACAGTTCACACTCTTCACTTACATTCAGAGCTTATCTTCCCATGGAGGCTACAAAGCTGAGTAGGAAAAACACACTCATTCAGAAGGGAGGTCAGGCTATTAAACCCCTCACACGTGACAGACCTCTGAGGTACCACGGCGGGCAGTGAGAGGTAGTGGAATTCTGTCCAAACAGTCAGCAGGTAATTTACGAATGCATGGCCCTCAAAATTTTGAGAAAGAACACATCTCAGAATTACTAGTATTGTTAGTTGGAAAGTTATTTAGTTAAGAAAATGGTCTGTTCAGTTGAAATACTCCAAAATCAAAGGCATTTCTGTGGAGCAAAAATGTTTTTTGTTCTATTTCTGGGCAGTGTCCATTCACTCACTCACTCATCAGTCCAGTGAGTTGTCTCTGCTGCACAACTTTTGACATTTTTGGGAGCACTTCCTGAGGGGAGGGGAAAGGAAAGAAGAAAGGAGAAATTTGGGAATTAGGGGACAGGCGTGAGTACAAATTCCTTTTATTTGAGAACCCAAAAGATCCAAACTGTTTGGATGAGGGTTTCCACCACGTTCCTCCGAGCTCAAAGGGCTCCGTGGGCCTGGGGAGGGGAGTCCTCATGTTGGTTACTTGGGGCTTCCATTCTCATTTCTTCTGAGCAGCTCTGTTTGACCAGTTTTGGTTTCAGTTGGACATAGAGTTTGTTGCTATAAAGTAAATACCTGAAAATCTCCAATTTGGCTCAACCTAGTCTCTGACATTTAAGTAAACTGATTCCTGAAGCAGAACTGGTGGCCTAAGGTCCTAGGGAGGCTTAGAGACCCTGTCCCCCAGCCCAGTCCCAGTCCCCAAGGTTCGCTGCCTCCCAGGAGGTCCCATCTGAAAGAGGGAACAATGCCAGCCCCATGAGAGATTTCTCATCCACCCTGGTGCTCCTATAGAAAGAGGCCTACCCACCTGGAAAATTATCCCCATGTCTTCAGACGGTGCATGGAGGTGCTCTGCAGAGCAGAGGATGGTGTATAGTGAGAAGTTCCTGAGGACTCAGCATTCCTGGGGAGGGGAAGAGAATGAGCTGTGAGGTGGGGAGCTGGAGCCCCGCCTGCTCTAGCTGAGCCTCACCTTGCTGTGCACGCATGTGCCCTGGACCAATGGCTCTGCTCAGGAAGTGAGTTCTTTGCCATCCTCTCCACCTCCACCTCTGAGTGCCCCAAGTCCTCTGGAGCCCCTTGGGGACCCCCAGTGCAATCAGGCAGGTAAAGAGGGCACTGGACATGGTGGGCCTGAAAAGTCTGGAAAGGAGGGACTCACTCTTACTTCTCCCCCAGCTTTAGAATGTATTGTCAAACTTTTAAATTTCACAATTTTGTCATATTATGACTGAGCCTGAACATGTTTTCATATATTTAAGGCTATTTATATTTCTTTTTCTGTGAACTGTAGGTTCACGTCTTTTGCCAATTTTTCTGGGTTTTTTTCTTATCCATTTCTAGGAGCTCTTTATATATTGGGGATGTGAGCCCCCTTTGTAATAGGAATTGCAAATATTTATTCCCAGTTTCTCATTTCTTCCTTTGCTTTGTTGGTGTTTGCTGTTTTGCTATGTATTGTTACGATGTCACTTCTTCCCCAACTGATCTATAGATTCACCCAATCATAATAAAGTATCTCAGCAGATATCTGGTAGCCACTATCTAATTTCAAAATTTCCATAGAAATACAAATGGCAAAACAACGTTTCAGTTAAGGATGGACCATAGATATGACAGTGGTCCCATATGATTAGTACCACATAGCCTAGGTGTGTAGTAGACTATACTGCCTGCGTTTGCGTAAGTACATTCTATGATGTTCGCACAATGACAAAATTGCCTAAGGATGCATTTCTCAGAACGTATCCCAGTTGTTAAGTGACACATGACTGTATTTATTTCCCAGCTTTATAACTGACATCTAACATTGTATAAGTTTATGGTGTACAATGTGAAGATTTGATACACGTATATATTATGAAATGCTTACACAATAAGGTTAGTTAGCACATCCCTCACCTAATTACCATTTTGTTGTTGTTATGGTGAGAACATTAAAGCCCTGTTGTCATAGCAACTTTCAAGTATATGGTACAGTATTGTTAACTATGGTCACCATGCTATACCTTAGATCCCCAGAATGTATTCATCTTATAACTGAACGTTCGTACCCTCTGACCAACATCTCCCCACTTTCCCCACCCCTAAGCCCCTGGGAACCATCATACTAACTCTGTTTCTATCAGTTTGATGTTTTTAGATTCCACACATAAGTGAAATCATACAGTATTTCATTCAGTCTTTCTCTGACTTATCAAGAGGGCAGTTTTAAGTCGACTAACTAGAAGAATAGTAATGCCATTTACAGAAATTGGGAAATAAGAAAGAGAGACAGTGAGATTGGATTTTGCACATGTTGAATTAAAGATGTCTCTGGGATGTTCAGGTGTTATGTTTTCCCCTGCTTAAAACTTTTCAAAGGCTTTCTAAGCTTTCAGGATAAAGCCCTCCTCATCAGCCTGTTTACCGCAGCCTGTCACGCCCTGTTGGCCTGGGCTCCCTCCTTTCTGCTCTATTCCAACCACTCTGGCCTTCTTTCAGTCTTTGTGTGCCCTGCTCCCACTATTTGGGGGACCTCTGAACATTCCTTCCCACCGGATTAGTGCCTATTCATCTGTCAGAGCTCAGCTCAAGGACTGGGTCCTCGGGGAAGTCACTGCTGACGTCCCAGTCCAACTCAAAGCCCTCACACCATCACGTTCTTCTGCTTAGCACACTTACCTTCGTTATTACATATTCAATAGGATGATTATCTGATCAATGTCAGTTTCCTCTACGAGATCGTTTTTACCCTGCACAATGCCTGTCTCCACTGCCTAGCACTGTGTCTGGAAGAGAACAGGCACTTAACAAACATTTCCCAATTAACTGTGGAGAAGTCTTTTTGATTTTTTATAATAAAGCCTTAATACACAATAATATCTGATGATAGCCACATCTTCTTTCCAGAAACAACTCCTGTATGCACTACAGTGGTGCAAATTCCTACACTGCCTGGGTGCTTGCCCTGCCATTGGTTGTTGCCAAAGAAACCCAATCCATATTTTTTAATTTAAAAACTGACTGATAAGAAAGATTCCCTCTCCTCATTTGTAAAATTAAAGTATACAACTAAGGAATATTTATTTTGAATAAGTAATTGTCTTTTAAAGAGCGGTGGCGAAGGAGATTTATTGAGGAAAGGTTTATTGATCAAATGCAGGAAATCACTTAAGGTATTCATACCTCAGTGGATAATTAATAATAAGCTGTGATTAAAAAGTCCTTTTTATCCCTGATTGCAAATATTGGTTAAATTATGGTACAGCGGAAGACCAAACAATATGAAAAATATTTAGGTAGAAGCCTATATATCAATATGGAAAGATATTCAAAATATATGAACATATTAATGAAAAAAGCATCACAAAAATGCTCATGTTATGACCTAATTTTTGTAAGAAAGAATGCATATATATTTTTTCCATCTTTTTGTTGACCTTTATTTTCTAACTTTTTTACATTGCACATTAGTTACATAATTAAACATCCTAGGGTTGGCAACCTGGTGACTTGCTTTAGTTCTGGATCTGCTGTGACCTGGAACACGTTGCTTTGCCGCTTTGGGTGTCAGTTCCCTATGTGTTAATGAGTGTGCCTGGAGTATGTAGTCTAAGCATTCAGAATGCTCATTTAGAATGCTCTTTTCATATTCTTTTAAAAGTCCATGTGACCTAATGAGGGTATGCAGCCTGGGTCGGGGTGGGGCTCGGGGTAGAGAGGACACCCCTAGAGCTTTTGCTGAGGCTGTGGACCCGGGAGTTCTTGAAGAGGCTGGGCCTGTAGTCCCCAGAGGCTGCCCACATGCCTCCAGAGCACCAGCTCTGTTAGGTGGGAAAACAAGTCCACAACTTAGCAGTGAGAGGAACAGGCACACCAAGAGGGAGAACGCAAACCCGACACACAATGCTTCACTGCCCACCTTCCTCACGATCAATTACTATTTCCAAGGCCACAGCGTTTTCCTCAGAAACCTTCCATGGTACGTTTTTCAAAGTTTTTGACTGTGACCCATAGTAAGAAATAGAGTTTACAATGTGACCCTGTACACAGAGCTATAAACATTTGTTCATAGATCTATAACTAAACTCAATGTTTTGGGAAAGAATTCTACTTTTACTACAAGTGATGCTCCCTGGTATTTCCTATCCTCTCTCTCCTATTTCATTAGAACAATCCTGACAGTGACACTCTCAAATGATTTCAGGACTTCCTAGTGGGTCTGGACCTGCAATTTGAAAAACACAGGCTTAGGATCATTTTACATTTTTGCTTAGAGAACTGCATTTCGTCTTTTAAGATGGTTACCTCTAAA